TTGTTTTATTTTGTTTTTTTTTCGAGATAGGGTTTCTCTGTGGCTTTGGAAACTGTCCTGGAACTAGCTCTTGTAGACCAGGCTGGTCTTGAACTCACAGAGATCCGCCTGCCTCTGCCTCCCAAGTGCGGGGAATAAAGGCGTGCACCACCACGGCCTGGCTTGTTTTTTTGAGACAGGGTCCTGACTGTCCCGGAACTTGCGCTCTAGACCAGGCTGGCCTTGAACTCAGAGATGTGCCTGCCTCTGCCTCCTGGGTGCTTGATTAAAGGTGTGAAGCACCACCCTCAGCCGGCTCTGGGTTCTTTTTAGCACAGGACAAAATATACCAAGTGCAGAATGTGACAGAAGAGACTCACTGGTATGGGGCTTCCCAGAGGCAGAGGCAGGCTTAGCCTGCCCTATGATCAGAAGCTGCCGTCATCACTGACACCATTCTCTTCTGTAGCCCCTCTCAAAGGCATCCCGAAGCAAGCCCCCTTCAGAAGTCCCACCACACCCAGCGTCTTCAGCCCCTCTGGGAACCGGACCCCAATACCACCTTCCAGGACACCACTGCAGAAAGAAAGGGGTGTGAAGGTGGGACATCCCTTTTTATGTCCTGGCAAGACTAACTAAGCCTTGATTCTTCACTCTGTAATTAAGTATGGGATATGTGTATTTTGGCAGCTGCTGGATATATCTGAGCTGAATACAGTTGGTGCTGGCCGAGAGGCAAAGAGGAGGAGAAAGACTTTAGGTGCGTATGAATCATTTCAAGTGTGGAGGGAGCTGTCGGAGGCATTGTAGCGAGTGTGTAGTATCTAGTATGCCTGAGCTCTCTCTCTCTTTCCCCCTTCCCCCTCTCTTTCCCTCTCCTCCTCTCTCATGTATACAGTGGTCTGTCTGCATGCATGCCTGCAGGCCAGAAGAGGGCACCAGATACCATTACAGATGGTTGTGAGCCATCATGTGGTAGCTGGGAATTGAACTCGGGACCTCTGGAAGCACAGTCAGTGTTCCTAATCTCTAAGCCATCTTTCCAGCCACTGAGTGCTTTATCTTACCACAGTGGCAGTGGAACTTTTCCCAGGAAAAGTTTTCCCTGGAAAACTTTTTTTGGGGGTGGGGGTGAGAGTGAGGGGTGGGGGAGTGGCTTTTGAGACAAGTTCTTACACTGTAGTCCTGGCTGGCCTCTTAGCTTGTAGATTTTCAAGTGTTAGGATTACGGGCTATAATGCTTAGCCCAAAAGAATCATTTGTTCTCTGCCCAGAGACCTGAGGGCACAATGCTGCTTTGCATTCAGCCTACACAGAGGACATTTGTGACCTCTGAACTGCAGCTGGGTTAGAGAGCCACTAACCAACTCTCTTTATTGGCAGACACAGAAGTGGTGGAAAAGCCCACCAAGGAAGAGACAGTTGTTGAAAATGCCACCCCTGACTATGCTGCTGGCCTGGTGTCCACACAGGTAGGGCTTCCATGCAGTGTATCCAACTGTTCCCAACCCTGACAAAGCCAAAACAGTGTGTCCCATCTTGTCCTGACTGATGGCCACCTAGATGTGTTCTATAAAAGTGTGTGTGCAGATATTCTTGTATGTAAATGTATGTGAGTGGCAGAGGGAGCCAGAGCCTGACTTAGGCATCAGCCTTGTGTTTGGAACAAATACCTGCTTTATATTGGGATTACTGCCTGAGTTGTCTCCATACCTCTGTACCTCATTTTCCTCTTTGTTTAGTGGGTATGGTTCCTTTTGAGGCCCCAGTGCCCTGGAGACCATGCCTTGCATATAGGTGGGAAGGGTGAGCCAGCCAGAGCAGCTCTTCCCCAGAGGCTGTCTGTAGAAATAGAGATGGGCTTTAAGGGCCGTAGGTGCAGAGGACACATGTATAGAGGCAGAGTGTGGCCCTGTGGCATGGTATGGTCATGTCTCTGAGCTCTTTCCATTACTCAACTTCTTTCCTCAGGTGTCAATTTGGGACAATTGGGGTGGTGGCCATGGCCTAAATTTGGAGTCCAGTATCACTAAAGCCAGTGGCCTGGAGAAGCCACTGTCCCTGTCCTGGGGATATGAGTACCTGCCATCTTGCTTCATTGATGGGCAGGGGCTGATGGAGGCTGTCTAGGATACCCCAGGGAGGTATACTGAAACCTGACCTTTGCCTGAAGAGATCATGGCCCTTGTCTTCCAGAAACTTGGGTCTTTGAATAGTGAGCCAGCACTTCCCTCTACAAGTTACCTGCCCTCTACCCCCAGTGTGGTACCTGCCTCATCTTACATCCCCAGTTCTGAGAACCCCCCAGGTAAGTAGCCTGCAGTATGCTAAGCCAGTATTCCCTCAGCCCATAGAAGGACTTGCCCTGGGGTTACCGAAACTGAGCTTAGTATGTGCACCTAGGAAGTAGCCTTGCTCACATGGTGCTTCTCAGCATTGAGACACCTGTCTCAGTGTCTCTTGATCCCAGGCAGCATGGAGGGAACTCCTCCTGGCCTAGAAATAAGCCAGAAGTCCTTGATTTTAGTGAACAAGTGGCTGCCAAGATTGGTACCCTGTTCTCTGGGTGGGTAAGGATCTGAGGATTGTCTCTTCCCAAATGAAGGATACTACAGAAGGATGATTCCTTCAGGGTCAGATGTAAGCTTGGATTAGTCAGTTGCTTGGGTGGTTGGTTCCTTTGGGCTCAGCTTTGTCTATTGTTAGTGGGTCGAGGGTCAGCCCTGCTGAGGTTTGTGGAAGCTACTTCCCACCAGCACCCAGGTTATGGGGAATTTACCATAGGCCAGGAGCTAACCAGAGTCCTGGATAACTTAATCTGTGGATCTAGGAATGCCTGAGGACATAGGTTCTGCCCTGCTGGGTAGTAGTGCACAGGGCTCACGTCCCTGCCTGTGAAGGCCAGTAAGGGCTTCTGGTCAGCAGTGATAGAAGACAGCAATTGGGTATGGGTCACAGTTGCTGTCAGAACCTGGAAGAGCCTATTGCCTCTCCAGAAAATGGTGTTAGTACAGGCAGCCTGGAGACGAGTCTGGGATGAGTAGATTAGGGATGTACTTCTCTTCCTGGACAACCCTCCTTAGTAACCGTGCTTTGCTTGCAGCCCCTCCTTCCCGGGAAGCCAGCCGACCACCTGAGGAGCCCAGTGCCCCAAGTCCTACACTGCCAGCTCAGTTTAAACAAAGGGCACCTATGTATAACAGTGGCCTGAGCCCAGCTACACCAACACCTGCAGCACCTACCTCGCCTCTGACACCTACTACTCCTCCAGCTGCCACTCCTACTGCTCAGACACCCCCAGTGGCCATGGTGGCCCCGCAGACCCAGGCACCTGCCCCTGTTCAGCAGCAACCTAAGAAGAACCTGTCCCTCACAGTAAGTACCCTGGCAGGTTTCATGGCCATTAGGTGGATGACATAGCTTTGCCTGTTAGTAGCTGGGGTGTTATGGGACGAACCTGGCAGGGCCAGTGGGTGGAGGAGGCAAGGTGGCCTGGGCAGCTCCCACACTCACGTCCTCTCTTTACAGAGAGAACAGATGTTTGCTGCCCAGGAGATGTTCAAGACGGCAAACAAGGTCACTCGGCCAGAGAAGGCCCTCATCCTGGGCTTCATGGCTGGTTCTCGAGGTGTGTCTGTGCTACTAGGCCTGGGAGGTGCCCCCCGTGGGGTGGGGGATGGGTTCCTTGGCCCCAGGCACCTGCCCAGCAGCCCCTGCTTCCTACAGAGAACCCATGCCCGGAACAGGGGGATGTGATCCAGATCAAGCTCAGCGAGCACACAGAGGATCTGCCCAAGGCAGACGGCCAGGGCAGCACCACCATGCTAGTAGACACAGTGTTCGAGATGAACTACGCCACGGGCCAGTGGACACGATTCAAGAAGTACAAGCCCATGACAAATGTGTCCTAAGGGCCATCTCCGCTGCTGACCCTCATCAGGCCAGAAGACAAGTACTGCTGGCTATGCTAAGTGACCTGAGCAGATACCGAAGGATGTGCTCCACCCAGCACCTGTCATTCACAGGCTACTGGGCCCCAGGCTGTTTTTAAGTTTTAGATCATTTCTCTGGGGAGTTTAGGCTTATTTTTTATATATACATATAATTATTATAATGGGTTAGTTTTTGTGTGATTAAGTTACCTTTTTTGGGGGGTTCAATATTACATTTTGAATGCTAAACCAAAAAAGTTACAACTTCATTTTAGTGCCTGATAAGACTATTACCTTCTCTTTTTTTCTTTAAAAAAACTGCACTGGCTGAGAGGAGGTTCTCTGCTTGTGCATGCCTTCCCTCCTGAGGCTGAGGGGACCAAAGGTGACACCTGGCAGGCTAGGGCGTGAGGGGGGCTATGACCAGCCTCACTGTTACTGACTGCCAGGGATTTCTATGTCTTTTGTACAGTTGTAAACATTTCAAGCCTGTCTCTGGGTAACTATTTTCATTGTAAAATGATATGAGTATTAAAGTTTAGTTTTTCTAAAGAAAGCCCACAGAGCTATGTTTCAAGCTAGCTTGGCTCCCTGTTCTGGGACCAAACCCCCTCCCTGTACACCTGTCAGAACCCCAGGGGAGAAGAAGCAGAGCTGGGAGATAAAGAGTCTACCTGAAAATAAGTAGGCAATGGGCAGGGCAACCTTGGGGTGTGAGGTCACAGTCACAGGGCAACAACAGGGAATGTCAAGGCCGCAGCATTGGGAAATGGGCCGATGCCTGCTGTCTTAAATTCATAGCACCCAGGAAGTTGGAGAAGTCAAACATAGTTCCATATAAAATAAGTGTAAGAAAAAGGCCTTTAAAGTTTTTTAATAAAAAAATACTCAATACAGTTTTCCAAACACAACTTTCCACTTAAATGCTATTTTTCCCCCAACTGGTAATTCTTGTCTATATTTCGGTATTACTTCCCCCCTCCCCCGCAAACTTCAAGTTTTTAAGCCTTCACTATCAGATCTGGTGACAGTACCCAGCATTCCTAAAAGGAACCTGACTATATTGTATGAAGTTTAGACACCAATAGGCACATTTAAACTTAAATTTAATTTGTGATAGGTCATTTCACATCTCAACAGGATATGGTGACACCGTGATACACATGGACACAGCATTTTTACTCTACTGACTAACAGTCATCAGCTACACTCCTTGTAGATGAAGATATTTGGCAACTGAGTTGTTTGCATTAACTTTAATCAGAACATTTTTATCTTTAAGTAGCTCTAGAAGGTGGGCACTTCACACATCATGTTACTTGGAAGTCATCAGAAATGCCAAACTGAGTGTGCCTGCCTGGGACCCAGGAGTCCTAGGTGCTAGTGCCAGGGAAGTTCCTCAGGAACTAGCACCTGGATCCTTGTCACTCTTGCTAGATGCACTGCCATACGGGTGCCTGGGTTTAACTGCGACAGCTCCATATTCTCTAGACCAGACCAGACCAGACCAGAGCTGGCCTGGACACCAGCTGTGCATTCCTGGGCTGCTGCCACCCTGCACAGGCACACAGGTGTGTGTTGACTAGGGAACTGCTCGCTGGATTTTAGATACTGGAGGTGCCTGAGGAATATGGAATTTGGGCAAGTTTCATTTGGTTTACTTCACATTAAAGAAAAACAATGTTGGAGCTGATGCTCAGAAAGTCACATATCTTTCAGACTCATTAGAGCACCTGCCACATCAGTCACAGCCCTGGTCCTGTGGGAAAGGCCATCACCCCAGGGTCACTTTACTCAGAATTGCATATCAGTCTTCGGCTGGTTTTCAGAGTTAGTGTTATTTACTCATTAATACTTTTTGGGAAGGGGAAATGGTCTAAAAATTTCACAATATTTCCTTCAGAAAGATCACAAATAGTAATTTAGAACCAAAAATCCCAAGACTTTACATAACATTAAAGAAGATAGTTAATCTGCTCCCCCTTAAGTGTACTGCAAAACCAATTCTGATGCTCTTTCAGAAGTCACTCAGCTGGTGGACAACTAACAAGATGGGCCCCCAGGTGGTCTCTGGAGCCTAGGGGCCATGTGCATGTGAAGAGGCTATCTAGCCTGTCACCACACCAGCCTTTCAAACTTAGGGCAGATGACAGAAATTTATGAACCAATCTAGTATTTTTAGGGCAGTTTGAGCCAGGTTCTAAACTGAAAAATGCCCTTGGTCTCATCTGGTCAAACAGATGTCTCCAGAGGTAACTAGGCCTGTGCCTATGGAAGCCATTGGCTATCTGCAAAGCTAATGTAGCTTTTGGGGGATTACTACTATAGAAAGGCCAAAGAGAGGGTCACTGGCCAGTCTTGGTCCAAATGGAAGCTGCAGTTCTACAAGGCTAGAGGGCAGCAGGATAGCAGACTCTGCTAGGGATTGAATGAAGAGTGAGCTGTTTTGCTTTGTGGCTTTTCTAAAACCATCAATTGTTGCTGCACTGCGTGTACCTATCCTCCCAATATAAAGCACGAGGTCTCCTTTCTCCATGTCTTTGCTCTCCAGGGCCAAGATATACTCCTGAGAAGGCAGAAGCAAGCCTGCCAAAGATACCATTTTAAATCTCACTAGGGAAACAGGTACCATCAGACCTGTCCACCATGAGACCAGGTGGCACCCTGGTGGGAACAGACAGAGGGCAACACAGCCTGGGGCTCGACAGATGCACAGGAGAGAGCACATCAGGGAGCATAAGTGTAGGGTCCAGGCTGTGTGCCTTGTGTCCTCAGGATCCTGTAGTTACCTCCCTGCTTGCTCAAAATCTACCTAACAAATACATTTTAGTTGATAAGTGATTTGCGAAAGTTTTAGCAAAAGTATACTGGGAATAAATCCCAGAAACAGAAAAACCAAGTGAAGGAAAATATACAAGGTTTCCCCCAAATGTAGGTCAAAGACCTTAGGTTCATAAGACATCAGAGAAAACAGCCAAAACAAAGGCAGCTGCTCTGCTCCACAGGCCACACTGCTATCACTGGTCAAGTCCACAAAAGGGAAAGCCATGAGAGGAATTGTGCTACACCACACCAACTCAAAGTGGAAACAAAGCACTTTGAGGAAAAATTCACATTAATACAAAGAACATAGGCTGTTTCAAAGGAGCAAAATAATGATCAATCCTGACTGGGTAGCCCAGGGCCTGCATCCCAGTTTGTCCTGAGTGGGGGGCAATATGTGAGCAGAAGCCTGAACCATCAGGATAGAGCTAAGGGTGACCTTTAAAAAAGTCTATACATTTCAGGTAAGATAAAAGCGTTTCACATACCAGTTAATCTTCAATCATAACTTTAATCTAAAATGAAAACGGGAGGGCACCTTGACGTTGGGTCTCAGATTCAAGTGTAGCAGTGATGCTGTGTAGTAAGGCTTGTTTGTCCTGGACCACTGAGTGTGCAGCTGACAAGCATCAGTGCAGACACAGCACAGCTGCTGAGGATGGCTCAGTGGTGGGAGGTGCTCCCTCCCACCCAAGGAGGCCTGTACATGTCATAGCATTATGGGCTGGGTCCTTGGGGCAAGTGCTGTGCTTGCCTTCCCATTATAGGCAGGGCTGGCTGCCCCATGCCACTCCTGGATCTGACCAAGGGCTATTTGCCTTCTGTGACCCTTCGCCAACACCGCCTTCTCTTCCTCTTCCCCTTTGACTTCAGTGATTCTGGAAAGGGTTTCTCAGTCTTGGTACTTCTTGCGGATTCTGCCCTCAAATCATGCTCACAGCAGTAGGATTGCCCATCCTGGGTGGAACGAAAGGCAGTCCCATCTTGGTGTTCCTTACAGAATGAGTTGGGGCACAGGTGGCAAAATGAGGTAGAAGGTTTGCCACATACATCACAGTGATGCCAAGGACATTCCCACTTCCCTGCAAAAAAAATTCATCATCAGCAAACAAGTGGCAGAATCAGAGCTTTAGCATTTTCAGGGCTGAAAGTAATTTTCTTGAGGGGTGCTAAGACTGAACCAGAGGGTCTCATGCACGTGATCTTGAACTGAGTTAATGTCCACAGGGTATGTTTCCTGGACTGACCTTGAACTAGCCATCCTCCTGCTTCAGCCTCTCGAGTTGATAGGCCAATGGAAATATACCTGCATACCTAACTGAAAATTACTTTTTAAAACTAGTCAAATAAATGCAAATTAACATAAAAGACTGCATTACAGTTGCCAGAGAGAAGTTAGTAGTTGGTGCTCAACTACTAGGCCAGGCAGGTACCAAGTGTTGCAGACGACAGTCTACATGCCTGCCAGCTGCAGCACCATACCAAACACCAAGGACAGCTCATGGCTGTTAGACTCTAGGAAATTCTATTGATGGCAATAGCTATCCTCTGACTTGACTTTTTTTTTTTTAAATTGCTGTTTTTAGAGTCATGTTTTCTCTATGTAGCCCTGGCTGTCCTGAAACTCACTCAATAGACCAGGCTGGCCTCAAACTCAGAGATCCACCTGCCTCTGCTTCCCCAAGTGCTGTGTGTACCACCATACCCAGCTTGGGACTTGCCTATTTATAAGGGAACAGTTTTATGCTTAGATATGAATCTCTGAAGACTTGTTAGGGTTAAGGATAATTGTTAAATCCAAATATATGTATAAAACCATTTTTTTGGTCTTTGGGTCAAATGTTTTTATAATTTTTCATTTGAAATCCTAACTTTTTGTTCTTATACCGTGACTACTCAAGTATATAAGTGGAAAAGCCTATTTTATTGTCTTCTAGGGAGCCAAATCTGTTGTTCCATCTTAAATAGCAGCTCGTGCTAGCTCTGTGTCATCTGAGGACAGTGCCTACAAGTCTTGGGGAAGGAGTTAGGTCAAGTTTCCTACAACTACTAGTCCAGTGACAAGACCAATCGTGGTGAAGCTGCTACAGTGGAACTTATCTTCTCCAATACAGCCCTGGTGCATGTCACTTTAGATCTTGGTGCTAAGGAGACAACAACTTGACATTAGGCTTTGGAAGCCACTGCCTGCTCCCATCCTTTGTTCCAGCTGGTTCCCTTGCCTAGGAACATTTACCACCTGACCGTCCAAAGAATATGCAACTAGATAAGGCCCAATCACTTTTGAGAGGCTGAGTAAGAGTGGCAGGAAAGATCACTGCAAGCTGTCAGAAGCTGCCATGGGTGCTGGACACCTACCAAAGGGCCGCTTGCCCAAGCCCAGGCAGGACAGGTGGTAGGCCTTGGTACAGAACTTTCGGTCACACAGCACCAGCTGTCCACCATCACCACAGCGGAAGCACTCATCCTCTGACTGCCGCTTCCCTTCCCCTTTGGCTCTTCGCCTTCTGGTTTTCTTCTTGGTCTTTTTACCCTTTTCCTCTGAAGAAAGGGATGTTGAGTTCTAGAATAGAACATAAAACAGCTTTTAAAAAAAAAAAAAAAAAAAAAAAAAAAAAAAAAAACCCAAAAAAAAAA